CAAGATCTATGGTCTGTTTGTGGCTTTCAGTATTCTTGGAATCGATATCATCTTCATCACACTCTCCTACATCAGAATCTTCATCACTGTCTTCAGTCTGCCCCAGAAGGAAGCAAGGCTGAAGGCCTTCAATACCTGCATTGCCCACATTTGTGTGTTCCTTGAGTTTTATCTCCTGGCTTTCTTCTCCTTCTTTACCCACAGGTTTGGATTCCACATCCCTTCCTACATTCACATTCTTCTGTCTAACCTTTACCTGCTGGTCCCACCTCTGCTCAATCCTATTGTTTATGGAATAAAGACCAAACAGATTCGAGTTGGGCTTTCTAAGATTTTTCACCATAAGGATACTTCTTGACCTAATTTGTCTCATTTTGATTTAAATAATAAAAATTCTTTCTGAAGAAATTCTTACCTTGGTGAGGAATCTGTGATTTCTCAAGTCCATTATGCATTGAAATATGAATTTACTGTTTTACATTCAAGTCAGTAAGACTTTACTACTTAAACAATTCCACTTCATTACAGAATAAAAAAGAACAAATTACATTTAATCAACCAGTAACACATAATACTACAATGACACCAATTATTTATAGTTCAACTCTGAGTAACAAAAATCTTTTAAAATCAACTTAAAATGTTAATATCTTAGTCTCGGCTTTTTCAATAGCATTAAAACTATTGCATATGAAATTCAGTCCAATGGATTATCGTCGTTTGTTATTTTTACTACCATTTAGGATCACACTAATCATCATTTTGTCATCATTGTTGAAGCCATAATGTTCTTTACTATAGCAACAATTGAAGCATGTAGTTTTTAATTCATGTTTCACAATAGTGTCATAATTTCCACTTTTCCAAAATGTATTTCATAAAGCCTTTTTTTTTTCCAGAATGTTATTGTAATCATTGGAGTGAGGCAGAGATAGGGAGGAAGGATGTGAGAAAGAACTCCCCATTGAGAAATTATCTTTTGCATTCACTTCTACTACACCTCTCTCTCCTTTCAGGACTTTGGGCATGCACGCATATATGCCTGGCATGTTTTTTTAGCAGCTGGTTCTGGAACTCTCACTATAGAGTCAGACATGTGGGTACCAGATACCTTAACCACCACACCACCAGCTGTTCCCATAAGTCAGACTCAAGGAAAATAACTGCAGTTTCATTTTATTTAATGTGCTCATGCTCTGGACTAGATTTTGACAAGGTCATATGCCCTACACACAACTGTGTGGGGTGTCATCATCAACTAGGCACTGCATGACTATCTTCATAAGACATTTTCATATCCATTTACCCTCATTGTTATGTATCCTCTACCTGGAACCCCTTTTCCAATTCCTTTCCTGATAAAATGATGTTCATTCCCAACATGATGCTCGGATGTGTCTTGCTGTATCTCTCAGATTGTCTTTACTGAAGTTCCAGTCAGGCTCAGTTTTTTTCTCTTTAATTCATAGTCACATGTAATTTCAAACTATGCTATAGTAAAATGTGCCTTTTGCTTTGTACATTAATCTGGATGTCTAGTAATTTAATATATTACTATTTAGTCTGATTTGACTTTGTGCTATATATATGAAACTTCATAAATACTCAGTGACTGGAATAGACTCTATTTTTACTAGTTTTCATGACGTCTTGTGATTTTTCACTGTAAGGAATTTTTCAAAGTAAGGACTGAGGAAAAATTTAATGGGGAAATATGTATAAAAAAAAGCCTCTTACGTTAATGATTACTTAAGAAAATACAGATATACACCTGGTAGATATAAACAAAATTTAAAAGGTCTAATCTAATTCTTCATAACTATAATGTGGCTCTATGTTAACAGTAATAATGTAAAACTGTATTTAATCATGAAATAGTGAAATTGCTTTAATATTACATCATTAAAGTCATGCTGTATATTTCTATGCAAAAATATGCCAGGACTTTCCCACAACCCAATAGCTTAATTTCATCTCACACCAATTCCATTACCTATTTAATGTATGGTAAAGATGATTAAACTGAATTATGATGTATTAGGTTCCTATGTCTCATTTTGGGGATGAAAATTACATATTTTTTTTAAAAGAAGATTGGCCTCATAACCTAATGGTTAAGGGAGCTGGAACCCACATGGCTGATATCACACGGCACTTTAACCCTGATTGCTGAAAAAAACATGACAAGCACATATGCATGCATGCCCCAAATCCTGACAGGATAAAGATATCAAAGAGAGGGCATGACTATGGCTCTGTGGGGATGTTGTCTCCGTCCAGCTCTTTTTATCTGTCACTCTGTCTCTGCCTCTATCTGGTGAGTATATGTGCCCTCTGGGAATTAAAAAGTGTAAGTGGAGTCCATTCAGGGTCTTGGTTATTAATTTGTCTAGATACCACATGGCCAACTACATGGTTTGAGTCTCAGACTCGGCAGTTTGAAAAATAAGCCAGGAAAGTATATGAAAAAGCCCCAAACCCCAAAGAGATAGAAATAGAGGAGAAGGGATTGTAGTGTGACCATCCTCCACAGGGAGAACTTTCTCCATTTCTCTCTCTCTCCTGCTCTCTCTGTGTCTTTCCAACAAGGATACCTACCCGCTGGCAAACTGGATTTTAAAAATTTTTAAAAAGTTAAGGAAGAAGATAAATAGAACATAATCTGGAGCTTTAAATTGAGTTGAAAGATATTAGTGAATATTCTAGGTTTATATTTTTTTTATTTTTATCTTTACTTATTTACTTACTTACTTATTTATTTATTTATTTATTTATTTATTTATTTATTTATTTATTTATTTGCTATAAGATGCATGCCCTCACTGGAGAGACAGAAAATGACAGAAAGTGAGCAATAACCCTCCACCCCCAGTGGGGATGGCCATGCCACCATCTCTTCTTTTCCATTCTCTCTAAGGATTTTGAGCATGCATGCAAACATGTCCAGCTGACTGCCAGGTCCAGGACTCAAACTGCAGTAGACCATGTGGGAGTCCAGCACCTTAACCACTATGCCACCTGCTGACCACAGTTTTAAATATTATTAATACTTGGAAAATAAACAAAGAAAATATAATTTATATAATATGAGAGTAGCTATGTATATATTAGTGTTCATGTCCATGGATTCTTGTCTCCTAATATGGCACTGGAGCAGAGATTCCCCAGTAATGATGAATCTAAAAGATACCTTTATTGTCTTTCTGCCAAACAAATCTAGGCACCATCATAAGTAGAAAACTGAACTATAGATCTCCAAGTTTGTCAAATTCCTTTCCTGTAACTTTGACTTTATCAAAAAAGCTACACTTGTTTTGGATTCACATCTTAAAATCATGTATTTATGCTTGCCTATATTATTTGTCATTTAGATGGAAACTGGTTGAAAGTAAAGAAGAGATATGATGAATCTGTGTTTCTGGTACTGTGGAGTCAAATGAAGGAAGTCTTACTAAACATTCTCCCTTCCTTGGTCACGAGTGCCTTTAACACTGCACACTGCCACATTTTTAAGTGAGCTTCTAACAATTGTCATTCCTCAAACTTAAGTATGTCTTTAAGCTATACCACGTGCCTAGGTAGAGGACCAATCTACCTAGCCCAAATATGACACACAGTCCTTCTTCAGTCCAGTTTTATATTAATTTCTGAGAATTTTAATAAGTCACCACTTTGGCACTTATGTTTACCTCCTTGATTCTCACATAAATCCTTTCTTTTTTCCATTGTTAAGTGTGATTAAATCTAAATATTTATAAAGTTGATTTTTATTAATTTTCATTTATATAAAATTCTGTCTGAATACAAAGATTATCTTTTTTTTTTTTTTTTGAGAGGTTTTTGCTATAGGGTGTATGTGCTCGCCAGACAGACAGAGAGACAGAAAACGAGAAAATCACCCCCGGGGGGGATGGCCATGCCGCAATTCCTTCTCCTCCGTACTCCTCTTGGGATCTTGGGCGTGCATGCACACGCGCCCAGCGTGAATTTTAAGCCACCAGGTCTGGGAAGCAAACCGCGGTCGATCACATGGGAGTCCAGTGACATAGCCATTATGCTAACTGCTGGTCCCACAAAGATTATCTTAAGGCTTGGTCAAAGTTACTTTTTTTTCAAATCAAGGCGAATTTTTGATGACATCAATCAATCATTACTTGGTTAATATTAATGAGAAATAATTTCTTCTTCCTTAGCTTTTTGTCATAGAGTACATGTACTTGCCAGAGAGGAGAGAGACATAGAGAGATAGGCCGAGTGATAAATTACCACTCAGGGGGCTGGTCATGCCACAATTCTTTCTCCTCCATTTTTTCCTGGTATTTTGGCACACACATACACATGCCTGGCATAATATTTAAGCTTCTAGGTCAGGGACTAAAAGGATGATCAGTCAATTGACCACTTGGGATACAGAGTATTCACCACCACATCATCTGCTGACCCATAAGTCACCTTTTTTAATCCTTTCTACAAGCTCATAGAGTATACAATATTTTATGTGTATTACACAAATAAACATACAAATACCCACCAAATGCAAGTACTCTGAACCAAGGCCAATTATATTTGAATTCAAAATTTAAATTCAGAGGCCAAATGCTCAAGTACTAAGTTATGACAACAAATATGTGGGAACTATTTCTTCTGAACTGCAGAGATCATGTAGGGAAGCAAGCTGAAAATCTGTTAGCTTTATTAGAAATTTTGCTCTTCATTTGTATAATATAAGGGTGGGTAAATTTTTATTTCTGATTTTTTGCATTGATCTAAACATTGTGCTTTTAATCTACTGTAGTTAAGTTGAATAGTGCACACTATATTAAATGCTCATTTTCTTGTACCTTCCTAAATAAAAGGAGCATACACAGTAAAACATTAACATTATTTTATTTATTCACAAATTTACTGTTCTCTTCCTCCCTAATACAAGCATAATAGAAGATGTACACAATAACTTTAAGTATTTCTCCTTAGTTGAGGTACTTAGAGAAAGAAAGAACTTAACCATTTAACCTGTACCAACAAAACATTTTGTGCAAAAAAAACACGTGACTAGCCCTCTCTTGAATTTGTTTGGTTTTCACCCCATAAATGATGGGGTTCAGAGTTGGGGGTACCACTACATAAAGATTAGCAAGGAGGATATGTATATGAAGGGGTATGCTGTGGCCCCCAAATCGGTGAGCAAGGAAGGAAAAGAAAGCTGGTGTGTAGAAGAGGAGGATGACACAGACATGGGAGCCACAGGTACCCAGAGCCTTGAGTCTAGCATCTCGAGAAGGAATTCTAAACACAGCACAAAGTATGACAGCATAGGAGATGAGAATAAGTACCACATCCAGGAAAAAGGAAAATAGAGCCACAATCATCCCATAATAGATGTTGACCTTGATGCTGTCACAGGCCAGCCTGGCAATGCCCATATGCTCACAGTATGAGTGATGAATAATGTTCCTCCCACAATAATTAAGCCGATAAACTAAAAAGATCAGGGGAAAGCAGATGAAGACACTCCTAGTCACAGCTGCAACACCTATTTTCCTAATGACTGAAAACGTTAGAATGGTAGTGTATCTTAGTGGGTAACAGATGGCCACATAGCGATCAAAGGCCATGGCCAGCAATATGGCAGACTCTGCCACAAAGATGAAGTGGAGGAAAAACATCTGAGTCACACAGCTACCAAAAGATATCCCCCCAGCTTGGAACCAGAAGATCGCTAGCATCTTTGGTGTGGTGGTTGTGGAGAGAAGGACATCTGCCAGAGCCAACATGGAGAGGAAAAGGTACATGGGTTCATGGAGACTGCGCTCAGTGAGGATTAGGAATAATAAGAAGGTGTTGCCTGCAACAGCCACTATGTACATGCAGCAGATGGGGATGGAGATCCACACGTGTGCATCTTCCATTCCTGGGATCCCAACCATGGTGTACCAGATATCTCTGAGGTTAGTGTGGTTTAAAGAGGTTGTCATCTATTACCTTATCCTCTGATTGGAACAGGAATTGAAAGAAAAAAGAGAGAGAAAGAGAGAACATTAATTTTTGAGTCCGAGTGTAAATTTTGCATTATTGTTAAGTAATTTTCTTAAGAAAAATATCTGTGACCACTCAGTGTTTATGGATAATACGCAAGAGAGACTTCACTGATCTAGAAGTTATCATGGTTTTAAAGAGCTAATAATAAAGTGAATAATGTTAAAAGCAATAATAATAATAAACAGATAACAGATTTATGTAAGGTTGAAGCACTATTATAAATACTATATATTTACTGAGTTAGTATCAAAGTTGAAAGTCTCTTATAAAGTCTTAAACATTTTATTTTCTTCTTGTAAGACTGATCATATCTGTTCATTATCACGTTTTCTTTCCTGGAGCTCAAGTAATATTAAGATCACAATACTGTTGTGTTCCTTTTGGGAGCTCAAGAAAATTGAATCAATGAAATTTATTACGTCTGTATTTAGTATGAAAGATTTTCATAAATGAGCTGCCTTTGTCTTACTTTCTCTAGTAATATATATGGAAAGAATAATAATAAGAGGCACATTTTCCCATTCTTTCTACTTTATTAAGACTATCTTGGGACCAGCAGTTGATGTAATGGCTATGTCACTTGACTCCCATGTAGCTGACCGCAGTTTGAGTCCTGGACCTGGTGGTTTAAACTCATGCAAGGTACAGGTGCATGCATGCCCAAGATCTCCAGAGGAAAATGGAGAAGGGATTGTGGCATGGCCATCCCTTTGGGTTGGGGTGATTTCTCTCTTTCTGTTTCTCTGTCTCTCTTTCTGGTGAGCACATGGGCCTTATAGCAAAAACCTCAATAAATAAATAAATAAATAAATAAATAAATAAATAAAAAATACTATCTTAAATATATCAGAGCCATGTTATTATTTTGCATGATTTCAAGACGCATGTGTTTCACTTAACCCAGTGCTCTGCAAAATGAGAAAATACGTAGTATTTTTCTGCTCTATGGAATCCTATTCAGCCATAAAAAACAAGACCCTGGAATTTGATGGAATGTGATTAAATGTGGAAGATGCATTGCTTAGTGAAGCAAACCAGTATATGAAAGAAAGATATTGTATGTATCCTATACAAACTATCCACACTTTATGGTAGAGATCAAAATATTGAAGGACCAAATAGTCAGGGATGCTGAAGACAGTGTGGAACAGGGTGAGGGAGTGGAGAAGAGAAGAGGATAGAGAAGGATAACAAGAGAACAAATAGAGAAGCATAACATTAGTGGGACACAGTAATGGTTTATTATCTATTAATGATAGCATGTATAGTGTTCTCAACTGAACAGGTCTGAGAAGTATTTCATGTTGGGTAAAATGTCTTTTTAAGTCAAGTGACTTATAATGATTAAATGTTTAAAAAAATAAAGAGAATAAATAATAATAATCTGAAAACAAATGATGAAAAGCTATTTGATGATGATGATGTGGATAATAATGTCTTTGTCTTGACTGATATGCATGGTAACCATACTGGAAAAAGAAACATAATACATTGTAAAGATATATGTGTTTAAATGTAATATAAAAATTTTGATAATAATAAATAAAATTAAATGAAAAAATTACATAGTATTTTTCTAACTCCATAGAAAATACTCATTGTCCACACTTATTTCATTTCTCTCTACATGCCTTTCCATCTACTCAGCTTTTATATCTCATTCACTCTTTCAGTTTTTGTTTGTATAATAGTCCTTTCCTTCAGCCCATGTTTCCTATTTTGCTTAAACTTGAATAATATTACTAGAGAAAGGAAAAAGGCAGCTCATAGATAAAGGAGTAATAAAGCAAATGTTTAAACACCTGGGAGAATTTACAAAGTCAAGACCAGAGAGGACAGAGTGATTGGGGCACTGGATTCCTATATGGCCGATCATGGTTTGAGTACAAGACCTGGTGTCTTGAAAGTCATACTACAAAGATTAACCTAAGAAAAATGTAGATGTGTAGTTGGGATAATTAAGAACTATGAATGTCTGGATTATTTTTGAAATGTAAATGATAAAATAAAAAAAAAAAAGAAAAGAAAAAGAAAGTCATACTGAGCACGTGTATGTGCCTAGAATCCACGGAGGATAGTGGAGGAGAAAGGAGAAGGGAATCGTGCATGACCATCTCCCCAGGGGGTGATTTCTCATTTTTCCCTCTCACTGTCTCTCTCTGTCACTCCCAGCAAACCCAAGAACCCTATGACAGAAACCTAACAAACAAACAAATAAATAAATAATAGTAAGGGCAGATAATAAGGAATTAGTAATAGGGGAAAAGAGGGTGGAAAACATAGGGAAAAAATGCTGTGTTTGATTCACACAAAAATAAAAGTTATTTGCTGATGATAATGTCTTTGTCTTGACTCATATATTCTGCATTTATGCTGAGAAAAACCATAGTGTACACTGTAAAGCTATATAGTGATTAAATGTAAACAATAAATATATATTTTAAAAATAAATAAAAATTTCAAAAGTCAGTGAATATTTATTTTATTTCTGTTTCTCTACAGTGCTATGCTTAAGAAGGAACCTACTATAAACCATAAATATGCTTCATTAAATATATCTCATATCCTTATTAGAACCCTGAATCATGAACACAAATAACCATGTCTAAAGTAGTTTAGAGGAGGATGATGAGAGATTTTTTTCAACCACATGTGAGTAGAAACACAGAATAGAAATTACCTGTAAGTAGGCAGATGGAGCAAAGTTTCATGGAGGTTTTGTCCTTAGATCTGTTTGTTGGAAAAAACATTGACTTTCAAGACACTGACATTGGTTACAACAAGTAAGATAAGAAAAGTGCAAATCACTGCACCTATCACATCATCTAGCATATCATGGCCTTAGAGACATGAGAAATTAGATTGAACAAGTAGGTTGTGCTTGAGGATTCAGATTTTTGAAAGTCATTGTAGAGTTTTTAGCTTTATGAGGTATTTTTCCATAGGTGCATGAGCTAACCAGAAAGACAGACAGTGAGAGGGAAAGTGAAAAATCACTCCTCTAGGGACCAACAGTTAGCGTAATGGCCATGTTGTTGAACTCCCGCATAGTCGACTGCAGTTCGAGTCCCAGACCTGGTGGCTTAAACTCACACTGGGCATGTGTGTGTGCATGTCCAAGATCCCAAGAGGAGGATGGAGGAGAAGGGATTGTAGCGTGGCCATCCCCCCTGGGGCAGGGGGTGATTTCTCACTTTCTGTCTCTCTGTCTCTTTCTGTCTCTCTGGCGAGCACACATGCCCTGTAGCAAAAATCTCTCAAAAAAAAAAAAATCACTCCTCTGAAGGATGACCATTTTACAATCCATTCTCCTTCATTGTCCACCAAAGGTTTTTGGGCACTCAAACTTGCACACGTGCCCACCATGAGTTTCAAGCCACCTGATCTAGTACTCAAACTTCGGTCAGCCATCTGAGAGTCTAGTACCTTAATCACCATGCCACCTACTGGCCCCAGGTTCAGTTTTTTATGTAATGAACTTATTATTTAAAAATATTTGGTGAATTTATAGAAATCAAATTCATAATTTAAATGTCATCTCTTCATAGAATTTGCTAATGGATAATAGACTTCATTTTTCATTTTGTATTTCACCATTACATACTTATTCAATATTTAATTACATACTTTCTATTATGGTCAACTCTTGAGCAATGTGGTGCTTAGAAGTAACCCCATGAAGTATGAACTGTGCACAAAACTTTTGACTGGTTGAATACATAACTACTTGTAGCCTGCTGTTGACTAAGAGCCTTACAGTAAACATAGACACCAGTTAACAAATATTTTGTATATCATATGTGCTATACACTGTATGACTACAATAAACTAAGAAAAGAAATATTTATTAAGACAACAGTAAGGAAGAAATAAATACATTTACAGTAATATACTGAATTTTCCAAAGTATTAGTTATTGCAAAAAGTCTGTGTAATAGTAGACCTATGAAGTTACAACTTGTGCTAGTCAAGGGTCAACTGTATTCTTAAAAATAAATCCTTACAAATGACAATGACTATTATCATATTTTGAAACCTAGCATAATATATTTTTGTTTGGTAAATATGGCTTGTAAGGTAGTAACTGCAATTGAAAAGGAAGAAGCCATCTTGGTGGTACTGACATAGGAAATTATTGCAACAGATCAGATTCCATCCAGAAACTTGGCGTTATCAGTGAAAACAGGATATAGAAGATTTATTAATAAACAAATAATATAGAGACATTGTGTGAAAGATGGAATAAAAGGCAGTTAGATATTTTGACATAGGACCAGCATGTGGTGTGGTGGTTAAGGTGCTGGATTCCCACATGGCTGACTGTACTTTAGGCCTGGGCCTGGTGACTTGGTTTTTCACTTTCTCTGCTCTTTCTCTCTCTCTCTCTTTCTCTCTCTCTCAAGCACACATGCCTTATAGAAAATAAATGAATAAATTAAAGAAAAAGAAATAAATAATTCTTTAAAAAAGTATTGTCTGGTAATGAAATGGCAACACCATAAACCAATATATGAAATAGGGTATGAAATGAAGGATTTACTCATGGTAAATGCAAGGGTTCTAAAATGATTAACGTCAGATGTCTACTGAAGAACTAAGGGAATACATTTGGTAAGTTGTCTCAAACCTGCACAGTGCAGTGGAAAGAGAATTGCCCTAGGGATGAAGTTCCATGGGAATTACCCTCGGTTCTGCCACCAACTGGCCTAGACTTTTAGGAGGTATTTCCTCACTCTGAACCCTCTGAACAGGTTGCAATTAACCTACCTTTGATTTACTTTTGTCTCCAAAGGCAAAACCCTAGAATTTAATCTTGGTTCTGACAATCAAAGGAAAAATAGTAATGGGCTATATTTTGTAGTTGTACTGTAAGTCACTCCAGATTAAAAAAAAAAAATCTAAAAACTAAAAAATAAAACAAAACAAAAACAAAGAA